GGTTTGTTGATATAAAATAGATGTCAGACCAGGTATAGTAGCACAGGCCTGCAATTACAGCAAATAGGAGATTCAAGCAGAAGGCAAGCCTTAAATTTGATTATTAAGCTTCAATGAAAAGTCATAATGAAAACAAGAAGAAGCTGAAAGAGCCCTGTATCATAATACTGGCTACTTCTTTCTTTTGTGACACGAATTCCTGTCTTTTGGATTTAGTGAGGCCCTAAGCAACTAAGAGAGATCCTGTGTCAAAATTAAAAATAAAAAGTGGTAAAGTATCGCTTGGATCAATCTTCAAAAAAGACATAAAAATGTACAAAAAAAAAATAAAAATAAAATAGATTTCAGGATGATATTTAATAAGGGCTATCTTGTTACTCTATTGTATACAATGGCACAATAGGTTAGAAAATCCAAAGACAGGAATTTATGTCACAAAAGAAAGAAGTAGCCAGTATTATGATACAGGGCTCTTTCAGCTTCTTCTTGTTTTCATTATGAATTTTCACTGAAGCTGTAATAATCAAATAGCTGATATTCTGGTTGAGTGGAAACTCGGAGGCATAGTGAATACAAAAGACTCAATGCTCAGGTTGCTGGGGATGTGGCTTAGTAGTAGAGTTCTTCCCTAGCATTTGTGAGACTCTGGATTCAAGGTCCAACACCACAAGAAAATAAATAAATAAAGACTCATACTCAGAACCAAAAAGGATTTTTGACAGGCCACAAATGTCTGGACTAAATCTAACAAAATAAAAGGTAGGGGAATAAACCAAAGTGTTGCACTTGGGTCTAACAACACATATAAACACCATCTATAGGCAAATCTAAAATGATGCCATCACACATGCTGCCTGTCTGCCTTGTAGCACCCCTACCCTCACCCCAAAGCAATAAAGTATCAGGCTATGGCAACAATAGCACAACATTAGAACAAGAATAATTGTAATCTGGGGTTGGGGTTGTGGCTCAGTGGTAGAATGCTTGCCTAGCATGTGTGAGGCAGCGGGTTCAATTCTCAGCACCACATATAAATAAATGAATAAAATAAAGGTCCATCAACACTAAAAAATATTTAAAAATAAATAAATATATAAATAAAATAAAGGTTAAAAAAAAAAGAATGGGGCTGGGGTTGGGGCTCAGCGGTAGAGCGCTCGTGAAAATAAATAAATAAAGATATTGTGTCCAACTAAAAAATAAATATTTAAAAAATTATAAAAAAAGAATGCTAAAAATAAAAAAGAATAGTTGTAATCCACCTGTATGCTAATAAGAACACATCTTGGGAACAATATTTCATTTTGGATCCCATAGATAATGCTAGAGCACATTTATAAGAAAGCAACTAGAAGTTTGAGGGCACAGTTATTTTGTTGTGGTAATAAGCATAAAATGTTTTATCATTTTTAAGTTTATAGTTCAGTAATTTTAAGTATATTCATATTGTTGTGAAACCAATCTCCAGTACTGTTTCAACTTGCAAATCTAAATAAAACTCTATATCCAATAAAATCCCCTTTACCCCATAAGGAGGATATTAAAAGAACTGGCATAAAGCTGGAAGAAAGAAATACTGGGTTTAGAGATTTATTTCCAAATACATAAAAGCCTATCATGTAGAAAATTTATGCAATGAGGATCAGGGAGACATTTCAGTTCAAAAAAAAAAAGGGAAGTTTTTTTCGTTTTGTTTTTTTGAGATGAGGTCTTGTTATGTTGTCTGGGCTGGTGTAAAATGGCAGAGCTCAAACTGCAGGGCTCCAGCAATACTCCTGCCTCTGGGACTACAAGCACCTATGCCTTACTGCAAGGGAGATTTTTTTTTTTTTTTTGTATTGAAGATTGAACCCGGGGTTGCTTTACCACTAAAACACATCCCTGGTCCTTTTTATTTTTAAATTTTGAGACAGGATCTCACTAAGTTTCTTAGGGCCTTGTTAAATTGCTTTATATGTTGCTGAAGATCAAACCAGTGCCTCACAGGTGCTAGGCACCTGTTAAATTGCTGAGGCTGGCCTCGAATTTGCTATCCTCCCGCCTTGGCCTGCTGAATCACTGGGATTATAGGCATGTACCATGTACCTAGTCCGAGGAAGAATTTTTTAAAAAATTTTTTTGGTTTCAAGGGATTAAATCTAGGAATGCTTAACCACTGAGCCACATCCACAGGCTCCCCTTTTTAAAATACTTATGTTTTAGTTGTAAGTTGACACAATAACTCTATTTTATTTTTATGTGACGCTGAAGATTGAACCCAGAGCCTGACGCATGCTAGGAAAGCACTCTACCTCTGAGCCACAACCCCAGCCCACAGCCCTTTTTAAATTTTTTTATTTTGAGAAAGGGACTCACTAAGTTGCTTAGGGCATTGCTAAATTGCTGAGGCTGGCTTTGAATTTGTGATCCTTTTGCCTCAGCCTCCCAAGCCACTGGGATTACAGGCATGTGCCACTGCTCCTGGCACTCAAGAAAAAAATTTTTTTAAAAAGAGATGCTTATGGAGCTGGGGGCTGTGACTCAGTGATAGAGCGCTTGCCTGGCACACATGAAGCACTGGGTTCAATCCTCAGCACCACATAAAAATAAAATAAAGGTATTGTGTCCACCTACAACTAAAAAAATACATATTAAAAAAAAAGAAAGATGCTTATGTATGGTTAGAGCTGCTATAAAAAAAAGCTGTTATGGGGCTGGGGTTGTGGCTCAGTGGTAGAGCACTTGCCTAGCACCTGTGAGACACTGGTTTGATCTTCAGCAACATATAAAGATAAAATAAAGGTATTGTGTTCATCTACAACTAAAAATATTAAAAAAGAAAAGCTGCTATAAGGAAACAATAATTCCCTGTTTGAGAACAGAAGGGTTCTTGTAGATCATTTCTTCTTCTTTTTTTTTTTCCTTCTTTTTTATGGTGCTGTATGATAAGCAAGTACTCACTCTACCACTGAGCTACATTCCCAGCCTGAGAACATTGCTTAACCCAGGATCCACAGACAAAGGAGTATGTGAACATGAAAGGAAAAATAGCCTATGTTTTCCTTAAAGCTTCTACTAAAATTGGTATTTCCTTCTATTTATTATCTTGTATAGCCGATTTTTTCTTTTTTGGAACCAGGGATTTAACTCAGAGGCACTTAACCCCTAAGCCACAGCCAAAACCCTATTTTGTATTTTATTTACAGACAGGGTCTCACTGAATTGCTTAGTACCTTGCTTAGGGCTTCCCCGTTGCTGAGGCTGGCTTTGAACTCGTGATCCTCCTGCCTCAGCCTCCTTATCGGCTAGGATTACAGGTGTGTGCCACTTCGCCCAGCACTTCAATTATTGATCAACTCTTGGTTTGTAACATTACAAGAAAATATCTGTTGGGTGCAGTGGCACAGGCCTGCAATCCCAGCAGCTCAGGAGGCTAAGGCAGGAGGATTGTAAGTTCAAAGCCAGCCTCAGCAATTTAGCAAGGCCCTAACTGGCTCAAAATAAAAAATAAAAAGGGCTGGGAATATTGCTCAGTGGTTAAGCACCCTGGGTTCAATCTCTGATATAAAAAAACAAAAATTTCTACCATATTGGGGCTGGGGTTGTGGCTGAGTGGTAGTGTGCTTGCCTAGCATGCCTGACACACCGGGTTTGATTCTCAGCACCACATACAAATAAAGATTCACCAACAACTAAAAATTAAAAAAAAAAATTTCTACCATATTAATGTCAAAGTCAGTCAAGCATTTAGTAAATATATGCTAAAATGCTAATCAAACTATAGATACAATTTTTTGCCTCAAATAGTATTTAGTCTTGAGAGAAGAAATTGGAATCCATTAACAAAGTACAAAAAATTTGAAGATAATTCATTAGAGTTCTATTTTTTTTTCCTGTATTTGATTTTGTTTGTACTAAGTTTCCACCTTTTTGGGAATGTAATCTCCTACCAAAGGCTAAATAATATGTTACCATTTTTGTTCAGAAATCTTTCCTGTCCTAAATAAGAAAGATTCATTTCAGTGCTTCTCAAACTCTATACCTCATTTATCAAGACAGTGAATTTATACTTCTCTGCCTGGGAAGATCTGGGGAAATAGCCCAAAGGCCACAAACTAAAATTTTAAGTCTCATGTGTCATTTTTTCCAATGCATATAAATGTGACATTACAGTTTGTAATTTATATATATATATATATTTTTTTTTCCTTGTAAGAGAAGCTTGAGTTCAATCAGTTTCATATAATTTCAATTTCGACTTGTGTTGAAAGAAAAGAGAAATTCAATTTCAACTTCTTAGAGAAGTGCTGCAAGGGATTGAGCAATATAACACGAATAAATAATGGCTGAAGGGAATTTTATAAGTATCCAAGGAAAGGAGGCAAGAGGCATGGGAACAAAAATTAAATCTTGCACTAACTTACCTCACATCTGGTATCTATCAAATTCTATGATGGGTAGAGGATTGTCATTATTCCCCATAGGTAGGGCATGGGTCTTGCTCACAACTGTCACTCTAGGACTTACTAGAGTACCTGGCACACAGTAGGCAGTCAGTGAATTATAATAATAACAACAGCAGCAGGTGGGCTGGGGATGCAACTCAGTGGTAGACTGCCTGCTTAGCATGTGGGAAGTCCTGGGTTAGTTCCCCAATACCATATACATAAACAAATAATAACAGCAACACAGCAGGTAACACTTACTGAGTACTTAGTATATATAAAGCACTATTTGAAATACTTGACATACATTACTAACTCCTTTAATCTTTACAACAACCCCATGCAGAATCCCATAATATCACACTTTACAGAAGAGGAAACAGGCCTAAAGATCTTAATATGCCAAGACCCCCAAGGCCAAAAAGAGGTATAGCTAGGACTCAAACTCAGTTTAGCTCCAGGGTCTAAGCACTGAGTTTGCTCTTGTAAATGTTATTCAATGAATGAAGATGTAAATACATGATTTGTAAGAAATGTAAAGCAAATATTTTAAGTCAGATGACTTTAGCTCCTTACAGTGCAGTTTGTTGCTTCGGCTGTTGAGTGGTTCTGGTCCATTCACATCTTTGCTCTTTTCATTGTCCTCAATGGGTCGGAAATGAGCCAAAGTTCTCATGAATCCACGGAAGTTTACCTGGTCCTCTCTGATTGGGAAATATGAAATACATAACATCATGTCAATCAAGGTCGTGTTTTACTTTTGTTTTTTTGAGAGCTTCACACATACTACATGAGCACTCTGCCAATGAGCTACATCCCTGGCCCCAGGGTAATCATTTCTTATGAACTCAAGATATAGGCAATACCTTTAGTTACATTAGCCTGAAAATTCATTTACCAGGATCTCTTTCCATATATATCATACTTTATGGATCAAAAAACATCTCCATTTAAGCCTCACACCAACCTTGTGAGGTAGATGTTATTTTCTGCTTATAAAGTGATGAATCCAACATAAGAGAGTTAACAGGACATAACTAATCAAGAGTTAGAATTTGAATTTAGTTATATCAATTTTCCAGAAAGAAAAAAGATTTAAAGTAGTTCCAGGGCTATATAATTAGGAGAACCAGGACTTGAACTCACTGCTTTGAACTCTGTAGCAAGCAGCAAATTAGTATCTCAACTCAATGACTCAACCACCATCCATGTCTCCCCTGCAGTAAGGTATACCTAGAGACATTTTAAAGTTAAAGCATATTATGGAAAAGTACTTTTAAAATAAAGTTGACCTTTTGACAGGAACTACCATCTTCCAGTAATTCGCCAAAAAGATGAAATGTAAAGCAAAGGAAAGAGGAGAGGAACTGGAACCTGATATATGTTCTCTAGGACTTTTGAAAAACATGGAGTTGTTCCTTTAGCCACATATATGTGAATCTACAAGAAGGTTAATAATGCAGACATTAAGAGAATGGCTACTGTTCAAAAAGGAATGCCCACAAATGCTATCGTGACAAAACTGGGAGAGTCTACAATGTTACTCAGCATGCTATTGGCATTGTTGTGAATAAGCAAGTTAATGACAAGATTCTTGCCAAGAGAACTAATGTGCGTATTAAGCATATTAAGCACTCTAAGAGCTGAGGCAGCTTCCTGAAACATGTGAAGGAAAATGATCAGAAAAAGAAGGAAGCCAAAGAGAAAGGTACCTGGGTTCAGCAGAAGCACCAGCCTGCTCCACCCAAAGAAGCACATTTTGTGAGAACAAATGGAAAGGAGCATGAGCTGCTGGAACCTATTCCCTATGAATTCATGGCCTAGTAAATGTAAAAAAAAAAAAAAAAGGCCCATGGACTATATAAAAAGGATTTTCTTAATTGGAAATAAAAATAAAATAAAGTTGATTTAGTAATAAAAGCAATTTAACATATTTTTTGAAATTTTAGAAAAATGAAAAGTAGAAAGAAATATACCATTTGTGGGTCTAATAATATATGATTATATTATCTTTCTTTCTCTCTCTCTCTCCCCCTTTTTCTCCCTCCCTAATCTTCCCTTCATCCTTCCCTTCCTTTTTTTCTTCTTCAATACTGGCAATAGAACCCAGGGCCTCGCATGCCAAGCACATGCTTTACCACCGAGTTACATTCCTAGCCCATATATGAATATATTTTCTTCCATTAACTTTTCTATGTTTTCTGCATAATTGTGAACCTACTATATATATAATTTCATATATTTTTTAATATTTTAAGCATTTCTCCAATCAATATAAACAGTTTGAAACATATTTAAATGCCTGCATAATAATTGTGTAGACTTACCATAATTTTATTCCCTCATAACTGGATAGATTTTCCTACTCATTTTCTGCAATCATAAATAAGGCTATGAAAGATCTCTTTGTATGTAAAGCTTTTTCATCACTTAAGCTTAGAGAAAATCTTTTTATCATGCCATAGGCTAATCGGTTACCCTGTAAGAAATAATTTTAAAACTTGAACAAATGAAGAATGTTCTGATATTAAAAAGAATGTCTTATGTGACTGATTTATTTATCTAAGGCAGTCACAGAAACTGCAGGCGGCCTGGTTCCTGACGCTACCTTGAGTAAAATCCCAGTCTTGGTGTAGCCCTCTGTATAGATGAGGTACACAGAGTCTCTTATGTGCCAGACAGAGAGAGTTTGGAGACCTTATTATTATTGTTATTTTTTGTACGAGAGAATGAACCCAGGGAGGCTTCACCACTGAGCCAATCCCCATTTTTTGTATTTTATTTAAAGACAGGATCTCACTAAGTTGCTAAGGCTTTGAACTCATGATCTTCCTGCCTAAGCCTCCCAAGCAACTGAAATTACAGGCATGTGCCACCATACCACACCAGTTCGGAGGTCTTCTAACAGTAGAGTTCAAAGACTAGCTCATGAGCCCACTGTACTTGAAAGAATGACCTTTAGTTCTTCCTGGTAGCTATACTGCTAACATAGCAATAACTGCTCAAAAATATGATCAAGATCTGAGGAATAAAGGAATATGGAATAGGATTCAAGTCATGCCAGAACAAACTGAATAATGAGAACACATATTACTAGCATCATTTCTAACAAAAAACTAAATACCAATGGTCTATTATCAAATCTCAATATTAAAAATCATAATTAAAAAAAGGAAACTCTACCTCCATAAGACCACAGGAGAAATAAAAGCCCAAAAGCCAAATATCTATTTCTAATTAAAGCAAGAAGCAGCTGGGCATGGTGGTGCATGCCTATAATCTCAGAGGCTCAGGAGGCTAAGATAGGAGGATCACAAGTTCAAAGCTACCCTCAGCAATTTAGCAAGGCCCTAAGCAACTTAGAGAGACCCTGTCTCTAAATAAAATATATTGAAAAAAAGAGGAAAAGGGCTGGGTTTGTGGCTCAGTGGCTAAGTGTTCCTGGGTTCGATCCCTGGTGCAAAAAAAAAACAAGAAGCAGAAGTGTAGCCTGCCAAGATCCTTGATTGTGACATGCAGGCCGTAGATTACACTGCTTCCTCATCTGCACCCTGACTAGATTCCTTCGCAATAGACTGGTAAAGAAGACAATAGGTGATAACCACGGTCAAAGAAAATGTGGTTCAGCCTTACAAAACAGCTTTCCACAAGCTGCTTCTTCAAGTAATCAATGTTGACTAAAGGAAAAAGTTGTTTTCTGGAAAAAAGCTGGCACAAAATAACTACTGGTTTTAGTTTTCATTGCAAAAGGTTTGGGTATAGGGCAGGGAATGTGGTAGAGTGTTTGTCTAACATATGCAATGGGTTCAATTCCTCCTACCACACACATACACACAAAAGGCTGAAGTACAAAGCATATTTGTGAACATTATTTTTGAACAGGATTCAGTGCTCCACCAGCATTAAAAGGAGAAGTAGATAAATGGAAGAATTCAGCATAAAAATCATCTGAAATAAACAGGGTAATATAGGGAGAAAGAAAGAAAAAACTGAGGGAGGGTATGAGATTGCTCAGGGTTAACATGAACCTAAGAGAGTAGGTTTTAGTCTGATTCAGTTTCTGACTACAACTGAACCAGCCTTCCCTCTCTGTCACTCCAATTTACTAAATGGCCAACCCACAATCTCATTTAGCAAATTTCTTTACTCTCAATTGAAAGCTCTAAAATTTCCTCTCCAGCATTTTATCTGATTGTGTCCCCACTGACAATTCCATTATTAAGAACTGGCACCCTACAGCATTTTGGGTCATACAAACAACTCACATGGAACCAAGAAAACACTGTTTAGGAGATTACTTAAGACAAGTTTTATGATACAATTTTTGTCATGAAAAGTTCTTAACTGAATCAAAAAATATTTACTTGACACTCTGAAGGCAGTATATTAAGTAGCAAAGAACATCAAAAGCCTAGTTCTACATTAGACAAACCTAAATGAAGGAGTAATATGCTTGAAAAAGTGTATGTGGTGAGGAGAACTGTATCCTTAGCACATATCACAATAAAATAAAGGCTGTAGAAATGTTCCAGATTAAAGGAGGCTAAAGAGACACCACAAATGACCAGGACTAGATCCTGAACTGGAGAGGGGCGCAATATTGAAGTATGACTAATATTAAGAAAAAAATAGATAATAAATAAATGAACTGAATAATAAATTAAAGTACTGTATCAATGTTAATTTTATAGAAATGGATAATTACTATGAATATATAAAAGAATATTCCTATTCGCAAACATATACCGAGGCATTCAGAGGTAAAAGGCCATGACTATGCAACTTACCCTTAAATGATTTAGAAATACAACTATGTGAATACAGACAACAATTATATAAGAACTTATGTATATGTGTAAACATGTGTGTGTGCAGGTGCGTGCATGTGTGTTTACAGAGAAAGGAAATAAAGAGGGAGATGGAGAGAGAAAGAAAGAGTGTGTGGGGGCAAGTAAGGGGTAAAGGTTGGGGAGAGATAGGAAGGCAAGGGAGAACACATGCATGAGCCGCACTATCCAATACTATAGCCACTAGTCATAAGTGGCTATGAGCATATAAATCATGGTTAATCTGACTTGTTATGTGTCATAAATATAAATTACACATTGGATTTCAAATTTTAATATTAAAAATTTATAATATCTCAGTAATTTTTAATACTGATTTCATACTGAATATAATAATTTGGGGGGTATGTTGGTTAAGTTAAATCAAATGCTTACTGTCAAAGTTCACTTGTTTATTCTTACTCTTTAAATGTGGCTACTAGAAAAAATGTAACTACACATGAGTCTTGAATAGTACTTTTATAGACTAGTTTTGAGAGAAAGAGCACACAAATGAGCCAAATGTTACCAATAAATCAATATATGCATGTGAGTCAAAGATGCAGGAATTCTTTGTAATATTTTAAATTTTGCAACTTTTCTGTAAATTTGAAATTATTTCAAATACTTTTTATTTTTTATTTTTATTTTTTTTAAATTTTTTAATATTTATTTTTTAGTTTTCGGCGGACACAACATCTTTGTTTGTATGTGGTGCTGAGGATCGAACCCGGGCCGCACGCATGCAAGGCGAGCGCGCTACCGCTTGAGCCACATCCCCAGCCCTCAAATACTTTTTAATATTTATTTTTTAATTGTAGTTGGACACAATACCTTTATTTCATTTATTTATTTTGATGTGGTGCTGGGGATGGAACCCAGGGTCTCGCATTTCTAGGCAAGTGCTCTCCCGCTGAGCCACAATCCAGCTCTCAAATAAAATATCTTTAAAGTCCAATTTTACAATAGTGATAAACAGAGATTAATCTAAAACTTTGTTTGCTTTGTGGTGCTAGGGATCAAACCCAAGGCCTAATATATGCCGGATAAACAGTCTACTCCTGAGTCATATTCCCAGTCTGTAATCTAAGAATTTTGAAGATAGGCTCACATATATATTTAAGTTTAAAAGAGGGAGGAGACAAGGCTGGGGATGTGGCTCAGTGGTAGAGTGCTTGCCTGGCATTTGTGTGGTCTTGAGTTCAATTCTCAGCGCTACCAAATTTAAAATAAAAGAGAGAGAGGGAGGAAGATAGAACAGAAGAGATGATTTAGATATGGTAAAATTAGGAATGCCCAACATAATCAGGGGATTATGTCTGAGATAACTCAAATAATATCATTATTCCAACTCAGTAATTAATTTAGTTTAAGATAGCCAAAGGAAGGAGATCCAACAGCTGCCCCAACTCACCCCTCTGGAAAGAAGGCATTAATGATCCGGTCCCCCAATGGGTTGATGGCAAGTTCTGGAATCCTCTGGAAATCTTCACGGCTGCCAAAAGAATCACCTTGGGTTAGAGATCAATGGCCCTTAGAACTCCTTACATCTGAAACAGAGTACAACCTAAGAAGAATATTACCTCTTGGAATTTATTTTGGGGGCAAATTATACCAAATAACTGCAAAGAATAGCACTTTAATAGCTGCCAAATATTTCTTGCATCAACTCAGGGGTAAAAGAAGCCATATTTGACTATGCCACATTCCAGTGAATTCAGCACACACACAGGTTACGTCAACAAACCATCTGACAAGGAAATACTAAGCTGTTCCTTAGTAAATGATTCCTTGAAAACTGCCATTCTGTACTTAGAATTTAAATGTGGGGGAAAAGCTTTTTTTTTTTTTTTTTTTTTAACTTTTGAGGAGCTGCTACATCCTGGTAAGATCTCAAGCACCAGGCTGTGGTTGTGGCTCAGTGGTAGAGCGTTTACCCTAGCACATGTGAAGCACTAGGTTCGATCTTCAACATCACATAAAAAAATAAATAAAATAAGGGTATTGTGTCCATCTATAACTAAAAATACTTTTTAATAATCTCAAGCACCTACTAAATACAAGGAATTCTTAGACGATATTTACATTCAAGGAAAGAATGTGACAACCAAATGATTTCCATATTTCTAGATTTTCCTCCATCTCCTTTTATACTAGAGCTAAAGAAGTATTTGACCATTGAACATGACAAGAGCAGTCATCCTCACATAACTGGGAAGTTGTGTTCAATGAATATTAGTAGTTACCATTCACCACATATACATCCTGTACTGCTCTAACTTTGTTTATATACAGTATCTCATTTCTTCATGCCAATGCTTTATCTATACCCTTTTAGGGCTGAGGAAACTGAATCAATTGGGATAAAGTAATTTGCCCTTGACACAACTACAAAGTAGCAGAAATGTGATTTGAATCCAACCCTGTAAGTCAAAGTATGTGCTTTAAAAAAAAAAAAAAAAACACATTACTTTCCCATGTTAAACTTTTTTGTGTGCGGGGGGGTTAACAGGGCTTGCACTCAGGGGTGCTTAACCACACCCCTACCCCTTTTAATTTTTTATTTTGAGACAGGGTCTTACTAAGTTGCTTTGCTTAGTTGCTGAGACTGGCTTTGAACTTATGATCATCCTGACTCAGAGCCACCACATCTGGCTCCCATGTTAAACTTTTTGAAAGAAAGTTGCTCTCTCAAAACATGTTCAACAGACATTTATGTGTGTGTGTGTGTGTGTGTATTTTAGTCATTTATTATAAATATATATATACATATTTATATAAAAATATTTATTTATTTGTTTGTTTGTTTGTTTATTTATTTATTTATTTATATATGGTGCTGAGAATCGAATCCAGTGCCTCATATATGCTAGGCAAACAGTCTACCACTGAGCTACAATCCCAGATCTCAACAGACATTTTTTAAAATAAATAACTTTTTTTTGTTGGTGGTGGTGAGATGGAGTCTCACTATGTTACCCAGGCTTCCTTCAAACGTGGACTCAAGTATCCCATCTCAGCCTCCATGCAGTCGTGACTACAGATGTATGCCACCATAACTATTTCAAGTTCTTAATAGTCACTTCTAAAAACCTTCTTTAGGTTCTGGGGTTTTAGCTCAGTGGTAGAACACTTGCCTCGCATGTGTGAGGCACTGGGTTCGATCCTCGGCACGACATAAAAATAAATAAATAAAGATACTGTGTCCATCTACAACTAAAAAGAAAATTTTTTAAAAGTCTCGGAATAAATAAATATATATATATATATATATATAAACCTTCTTCAGATGACATCCTGTGCCAAAATTCATAGTTGTATAAAACATATTTGTGCTGCACTCTTCAAGAATAGCAATGTTGCCAGGTGCAGTGTTGCACACCTATAATCCCAGCAGCTCAGGAAGCTGAGGCAGGATTTTGAGTTGAAAGCCAACTTCAGCAACTTAGCAAGGCCCTAAGCAACTCAGAAAGACGCTGTCTCTAAATAAAATACAAAAAAAGGTTGGGGATGTTGCTTAGTGCACCCCACCCCTGAGTTCAATTTCCAGTATCAAAAAGAAAAAAAAAAAATCTATGTCATGAAGGGTAAAGAAAAGCAGAGGGGCTGAGGTAGAGCATGTACTTAGCATGCATGAGGTCCCAGGTTCAATCCCTACCATTATAGAAATAAACAAAAAGAGAAAGGCAGGAGATTGTTCCAGATCAAAGGAGACTAAAGAGACTAAGCCTAACTGATCCCTTGGACTAAGGAAAAAAACTTCTATAAACGACATTATTAGAAGATAAGTGAAAATGAAACATGAATTATACAGAATATGGACATACTGAATATGGAATATTACATACTAACACTGTATAAAAATGCTACATTTCTTGATTTTGATCTGAGACTATCCTTGTAATAGGAAATAGTATGGCATAATGAATGTAAAAAAAATGTGAACAATTGTTACTCTGGGTATCAAGTATACAAAAGTTCTTTGTACTGTTCTTGTACATAGCAATATTCTGTAAGTATGAAACTACTTCTAGATGAAAAAGTTATAAAAATATAAACTTCAATAAATCTGATTCCTGCCTCTTAGAAGTTTACTAACAGAAGATAAACACGTCGTTGCTCTGTCTTCTTCATACTAAATGCTAATGAAGGCAAAACAGCATGAAATGCTCCTGTTTTACTCAGAAGTCTTCACACTCTGTTCCTCTTATGGTTTAACATTTACATGGTACTTAACAATTAGCTCATCTTTACTACCTCTGGAGACAGGTAGAAACTGACCTACTGGACTAAGCACAAAGCCCTGGAACAATAACTCTGGAGTTTAATCTTTCATGATCACGTAGGGTAATAATTTTTGTAACAATGAATGACACAAAAAAGCCATTCATAACTGAATTTCTTAAAATGTGTGAGGCTTTGGATTCGATGTCCTTTACCAAAAAAAAAAGGTTAAAAGATAATCACTTAAGTCCTGATTATTTAACTCAACAAATATGTACCTAGCTTTTATTAAACAATGTCATGAAATACAAAGTCCATATTATCACCAAAATGTAGCTCCTCTTGTTTGACCAAGGTTAAAAAAAAAATCAATATTTCCTTTTAAATTAAGACTTAAAGCTGATTTGAATTGCATGGTTACATACTTAAGTTTAATGTCCCTAACAAGCTTAATAATTTTAGCTGAGAAAAGACATGTTTAAACACCAGGTCTAGTATCAATTTTGGGGCATACAACTTAGCCTGAAACCCTCAGTCTCAATAGTAGGATCTAGATTTGGACTTTCCAATATTAACAAGGACTTAAACCCTGTCCTTTGATACTATCTAGTTCTAGTTTTACTATTTTGTTTTTATATACAAGTGCTTCCAGTTACCAGACCAAAGGGAATATTATTTAAAACATCAAAATTAAAATGACAGTGTATTAAAAACAGGTTTTCAACTGTTGAACAATACACAATTATATAGAACATCTAAAATATGGATTGTCTGAGCAGTTTTTCTAAAAGTTAATTTCTCAAATTTGTCAACAAATCCAACCCCAATAGAGAAAAATTAAATACTCCAAAGTGGTCTACATGCAAGTGCAAAATTCATTTGAAATAAATGTGAACTCATTACAAAACACACCAACATTATATTTAGCCTTATAGCATACCTAGGAAGTTTTTTTAAGAAAAAGACATTGTTACGTTAGTAGGCAAGTCCACAAATGAAACCATATACAGTGGCATTCTTTGCGGCCAAAAACTTCCTCAGGAGCAGTGGTTTTCCAGACATTCAAAAGCACAAAGATGCTATGAAAAGTCAGTTTGAGAGAGACTGTGAGTAAACAGAGGTGCTATACCTCTATACTGATTTCTTTCATTGTGGAAGTTCCCTCTCTATTTTCTCTCTCCTTTTTTTTTTTTTTTTTAATTGTTGTTTTTTGTTTTTTTCTTCCATGCTGTGTAGGTTCGCACATGTTAGGTAGGTGCTATACAACTTAGTTACATCCCCAGCCCTAGTAAAATCCCTTCTCTTACACAGAGAGTTGGTCTCACAGGAGCCTATTTATATTTCAAGTACCCAGAGGTTGATGATTTATATGAATTTTACATAATGAGGTGATTAAAATCTGTTAATTTGACATTAAACACAGCCAGGCATGGTGGCATACACCTATAATCACAGCTACTCAGGAGGCTGAGGCAAAAAGATCTCAAGTTCAAGGCCAGCCTGAGCAACTTAGTGAGACCCTGCCTCAAAATAAAACAAAACAGGCTGAGGATGTAGCTTAGTGATAGAGTACTTGCCTAGCATGAACAAGGCCCTAGGTTCAATCATCAGTACTACAGAATTAAGGGGGAGGGTGGAAGGAAAGTATTAGGGAATGAGATTGATCAAATTATGTTATGTGCATATACAAGTATGGCATAATGAATCCCACTATTATGCATAATTATAATGTACCAATAAAAAAGAGAAAATAATCAAGTAGTTTAACCGATTAATTATATGGTACAACATATTAACACTGAAACAATATTTTCTAATACCTAAAGTATTTAATTAATATTTTAAATTCAACTGACAAGATCATTTTGTTGTTATAACAGAATTTTTTCCTATACAGTGCCAATAAATGTTCAAGCCAGTATTTGCTAGTTTATCCACTGTTTGCTAGTTTAGTGTTCCAGGGTCAGACTGGATTATCTGCAAGGCTGCATTCTGACTTTTGGTTGAGAGTGGTGGGCACATACACATTCACCTCCTCTCGTTCTTTAAAACTCCTCAAAATGTCAGCCAAAAGGTATACATGGGAATATATCCACAGTAGAAACAATCAGGATAGGAGAAATGTACTAAGTAGCTGAGGTATTCTAATAAATTCTGGAATTCAGAAGGCAGATGTGGATGTTGTAACAGAAGTTTGAGCAGAAAGGGTGCAGCAGAGTTGAGAACCATTCTGCCCTGCAGAATTTCACTAAGGCACCATACTCAGTTGCAAAGTAAGGGAAGTAGTATTAAAAGTAATTAATTAAAGGATCTTTTAAAGAATGGGCCCAGGGGATCCAATGTGCAATGACTGCAAACAGCAATCTCCCCAGTGGTTTATAAAGCCTGCTGCTTGTACAGGTTGCCCAGGGGACCTTGGAGGCAGCACTTTCCAATGGATATTCATGTCTCTGATCTTCTGTTGTGCCCAATTTAAGCTTAAGACAAGTATGTGGAGTGCCTCTGAAAAACCCAAGAACTGGCTGGCTAGAGTTATAGACAGTGGCAGAATGATTGCCTAGCATGCACAAGACCCTGGATTCTATCCCCAGAACCCCCCTACACACACACACACACACACACACACACACACACACACTCACGAGAAAAGAAAAAGGAGAAGGAAAGAAAAGCCCTAGCATGATGATCAGGGTTCACAATAGCCAAGTCATAATGTCCAACTGCAGAACAAGGATAGAGAACCTACATTTGAGCCACATTCAAGTTCCCTGGCCACCAGAAGATCCACATCTCAATGAAGTGAAATTTTACCATGTTTAATGTGGATGAATCTTAAAATATAGAGGCTATGAAGCAAGTTATCATGGATGACTGTAGGGTCACATATATCCCAATCTTGATTCCTCAGACAGTGGTGGGCCCGGGATTCATGAGGTCTTCATTGTGCTTCCCACTCCTTATGTACATCCATTAATAAATTATATGTCCATCTAAAATTTTTTTTTTAATTGTGTATGCACCTAAAAATAACAATGAGTTGGCTGCCAACTATTGCCAGTGCCCATTCCAGGCATACAAAACCAAAGCAATCACAGAAATATTTTATCCAAATAATGGCATCTAAGTAAGATTTCTAAGATTATAGTATATATTACATTCTATGAAATACCAACCTAAAATTATGGTTTGTGTAAAAAGGGGTCTATAGCAAAAGAGCAAATCAATTTGACAAATACTGTTTACAATATTCTCCCTTGGAAATTTCCAATTATATATGAATATATTTAAAGATGTGGGTAAAATACTGTCATAAAGAAGCTTTAAACCGGGCTGGAGATGTGGCTCAAGTGGTAGCGCGCTTGCCTGGCATGCGTGCGGCCCGGGTTCGATCCTCAGCACCACATACAAACAAAGATGTTATCAGCACCACATACAAACAAAGATGTTATGTCTGCCGAGAACTAAAAAATAAATATTAAAAAATTCTCTCTCTCTTTAAAAAAAAAAAAAAGAAGCTTTAAACCTCGTTTATCAAACTTTTCACATATTTTTCAATACAATACCTATTGACAGACCAAGGAATCTATTAGTCTATAAAACATACTTTAGGGGCTCGCATTGTAGCCCAGTGGTAGAGCTCTTGCCTAGCATGTGTCAGGCACTGGGTTCAATTCTCAGTATTGCATATAAACAAACAAAAATAATGGTTCATAAACAACTAAGAAAAAAGATACATGTATGTACATATATGTATATAAATATATATTTAAAGAACATACTTTAGAATGAATCTAAAAACACTTTGAAGAAGCTCTATTATAACCAAAGTTTTTTATAGATCGTATTTTATGTTCTATTGAGAAATAATCATTACAAAGGAATGTGAAATGCCAAGAATCTACACTAGAGCTTCTCACTCTGCAGAATTTGGCTTCATGTCACAGATGTGGACACACTACCTTTATTTTACTTATTTATTTCTATGTGGTGCTGAGGATGGCACCCAGTGCCTCATGCTTGCAAGACAAATGCTCCACCACTGAGCTATGACCCCAGCCCAGGCCACAGATATGGAGAGGAAAGATTAAAAATGGTTGAAAAGCCAGGTGTGGTGGTGTGTACCAACTACTCAGGAGGCTGAGGTACGAGGATCACCTGGGCTCAGGAGATTGAGAGTTAAGCCAGCTCAGGCAACAGAAACCCCATCTTAAAAAAAAAAAAAAATCATAGAATGAAAAGTATTTCTCCTAACACACCCAAATGCCTTCTTAAGAAGGTGAAATCTGTTGCAGCTAATACAAAATTGGAAGTCACTAACTTTCAGCAGAACACACATATGGATTCTGAAAAGATAAAGTTCAAACTGGCAGAAAAGGCTGGAAAGAGCTGACTTGCTCTGTAGTACCAAAGAATAAGGGTTCACCAGCTAATTTCCATGGTTAGAGGGAGTAGGAGAGTAGTTGGCTGGAATCTGACCAAATGGCTAGAGGTTGAGATGCTTCTCACTGGAAGCTCAGCCAGTGAGAAATCTCTGAGAATGAGTGGATTCATCAAAATGAGTAACATAAAATGTGCTAGTTGCTTATTATTTGACATATTATTTGGTCTATTCTAATGGGATAGTTTCCTTTTTGTATTCAAGGTGGTTTGGTGTGTCTTCAATATTCAAATCCACTCATAAAAATAATCAAAGAACAGGTTTAAGAATTAGAGCTTGATGAAGCTAAGTACAAAAAAAATCAGATTCAGAGGACTGTGAAATCAAAAATTACCCATCACTTCCTATCACCTCTTCTCACACAAAGAATTTGTAGAAATCAGCACTGAGAACTGTGGCTAGCACATTTATAGGTACTCAAAAAATCCCTAACAAATGAGCAAGTGAGTCCACCCATTTCCCACAGAATACAAAATGGTGCTTTAGTGGTCGAGGAAAATTTTTTTTTTTTGGTACCAGGGATTTAACCCAAGGGCACTTTTCCACTGAGCCACATCCCTAGCACTTTTTAAAAAAATATTTATTCTTAAGTTTTTAGGTGGATACAACATCTTTGTTTTACATTTATGTGGTGCTGAGGATCAAACCCAGTGCCTTGTGCATGCTAGGTGAGCACTCTACCACTGAGCCACAACCCCAGGCCCTTTTGAGACAAGGTCTCATTAAGTTGCTTAGGGCCTCACTAAATTGCTGAAGCTGGCCTTGAATTTGTGATCCTATGAGCCATCACACTGGCAATTCAGAGGCTGTTGAATTTGTAATCCTCTTACTTCTATTTTCTGGTGGGATTACAGGCATATGCTGCCAGGCTAGGTTTCAGCAAATCTTACCTAGACTTTAAAGAGTACATGACACTAGCTGACATCTGAAATGTTTTCTCATTTTATAAAAACTTTTCCATTGTTTTCCAGCAAACAGTGGGAATAATGAAAACATACACATTTACGAGTTGCCTATTTTCTACAAAGAAGAAAAGAACTTGGAATTAACATAAATTCTCTATTTTTATTGAGTAGTTCAATCTGAATTTATGAGGAAGATATAAATCCAAACTCAAAGGAATGATTAAAGTATTAAAGCTGTTTCATTCCAACATCTTTCCATACCACCATAGTTGTACACATGAATCCTGGCTAGTGTCCTCAAGATCGTCAAGACTGCTAAAAGGCAAGCACATGGTTCTTATTAGGCCATGTTCAAAGCCATCATCTGGTTTCCTCCTAACTATGATGATGAAGCATGGATACACTGGCAAATTGTAAATTACTAATGGTCACTGAGCTCGGAAAATGCTGTGAAACTTACAGGCAAGTTAAACAAGTGTGGAATGATCAGTCCCAGATAATCTATCTATCTATCTATCTATCTATCTATCTATCTAGGTATTGAGTATTGAACCCAGGAGCCCCTGCTTAACAACTGAGCCACATCTCCAGCCCTTTCTTATATTTTAATTTAGATACAGGATCTTGCTGAGTTGCTTAGGGCCTCACTAAATTACTGAGGCTAACCTTGAACTTGCAATCTTCCTGCTTCAGCCTCCCAAGCCACTGGGATTACAGGCATGCACCACTGCACCCGGCTCAGCCCCAGATTTGATATGCAACTGAAAGAAAGACCTAGAAAAATGAGAGAATGACATGCTCCCATCCTATCAGTTTGGTTTCACTGTCCTGAGAGCCTAAGATGGCATTATGGACCACAAAGAAGCAAGATGAAAACACGAAAAGAGAGAAAATCCTGCAATTCTCTTCTTTTTTTTTTTTTAAAGGAGGAAAATTTTATTTGGGGCTCACAGTTTCAGAGGTCTCAGTTCGTAGATGGCTGAATCTATTATCTGGACTCAAGGTGAGGCAGAACCACATGGTGGAAGGGTGTGGTAGAGGAAAGCAGTTCAGGATGTGGCACCAGAAAGCAGAAAGCCTGCAATTCTCTAAGATTATAATATATATATTCAAATAAAATGCCTCAATTGACAAAGAGAAAAACAGAGGTTTCTACTCTGGTTACCTTTTGAGTACAAATCCATATAGTTTTTTTTTTAAAATATTTATTTTTTTGTAGTAGGTGGCCACAATATCTTTGATTTTTTTTTTTTTTTTTTAGCTGTTGATGGATCTTTATTTACTTGCTTACTTATATGTGGTGCAGGGAATGGAACCCAGTGCCTCACATATACGAGGCAAGCACTCTACCACTGAGCTACAACTCCAGCCCCACAATACCTTTATTTTATTTATTTATTTTTATGTGGTGCTAATGAGGATGGCATGTGCTAGGTGGTGCTCTACCACTGAGCCACAACCCCAGCCCAATCCATATAGTTTTAATAGTATCTTCAACAAATGATGCTGGACAACTGGATATCTACATGCAAAACATGAAGATGGACTCATACTATATAGAGAAAAACAACTCAAAATTAATCAAGGACTTAAGAATAAGCACTAACCATAAAACTCTTACAAGAAAAAATAAGGATAAGTCTCCAGGACCTTGGATTTGGCTATCATTTCTTTCTTTCTTTCTTTTTTTAATATTTTTTATTTATACATGGACACAATATCTTTATTTTGTTTATTTATTTTTATGTGGTGCTGAGGATTGAACCCAGTGCCTCACGTGTTTGAGGCAAGCGCTCTGCCACTGAGCCACAACCCCAGCCCCTTAGCTATCATTTCTTACATATGACACCAAAAAAAACTTAAAAGAAATTGTGCTCCATGAAAATACGAAGTTTTGTTAATAGTGAACCCTACCATTATGCACAATTATAATGCACCAATAAAAAATGGAAAAAAATTAAAAATTTTTCTGCTTCAAAGAACAATGTAAAGATATTAAAAGAAATTCCACAAAGCTGGGATGTAGCTCAGTGTACAACACTTATCTAGCATTTTATCTTTAAAAAATGTTGATTTTATCTTCAGCACCCAAGTGGAGGAAAAAACAGAAAGAAAAGAAAATCTGTAGAACAGCAAAACAAACATTTGCAAATAATATATAAAGGTCTTGTATTCAGATAAGAATTAATGTTAAGGGTCACATTACATAAAAAACTCTTATTAATCCATGTTAATCCATGTTAAATATCCAGATTATACAAAGAGTCCTTACAACTCAACAACAAATAGACAAGAGAGAAAAGAGAAGAGAAGAGAAGAGAAGAGAAAACCCAATTAAAAAGTGCAAAGTAACTGATAGGCATTTCTCCAAAGAAGTTATACAAAGGGGCCAATAGGCACAGGAAAAGCAGCTCAAAGTCAGGCATAGTAGTACATTCCTATAATCCCAGTGACTTAGGAAGCTAAGGCAGAAGGACTGCAAATTCAAGGCTAGCCTCAGCAATGTAGTGAGAAAAAAATAATAATAACAAGGGCTGGGGAAATAGCTCATACTGATGGACCTGTATGTAGAGCACCCCTGGGTTCAAACCCCAGTACCTCCAAAACATAAATAAAGAAAAGAAGGCTCAACATCATCAGCCATTAGGGAAATACGAATCAAAACCACAATGATACACCACTTCACATCTACTGGGATGGCTACAATCAAAAGAATAAGTGCTGATGAAGATATAGAGAAACTAGCATCTTTGTACACTATAGTGGAAAAGTCTTATGGTAGAGTCCCTGAAGAAAATGGTTTGGCAGTCCCTTGATAAGTTAAGCAAAGAATTACCATATTAACCACAATTCCACTCCTAAAGATATGCCCAAAAGAAATTAAAACATGTCAACAAAAAAATGCTCAAAGTTAGACTATTTATAATAGCTAACAGATATAAATGCCCATCAGACTTATGAATGGATAAAATGAAATGTGGTATCCATAAGTGGGATATAAATCAGCCATAAAAAGGAATAATGTATGATACATGCCATACATGAAAGAACCCTGAAAATATCATGTTAAATGGAATGAAGCTAATCCCCAAAAGATCACATATTATATGATTCCATTTATAAAAAATGTCCATAGGAAGACAAAGTATAGTAGTGGTTGCCAGGGGTTCAGGAAAAGGGGAAATGGGAAGTGACTGCTTATGAGCATAGAATTTTCATTTGGGGTGATTAAAATGTTCTAGAGCTAGATTATGGTGTTGGTTGTACAATACTATAAATATACCTAAAGCCACTGAGTTGGTTATATGTATTGTGCCACAATTAAAAAAAAAAAAAATGCGGGGCATGGTGGTTGGAGTCTTTTTTTTTTTTTTTTGTCTTTTCTTTTTTGGAACTGGGGATCAAACCCAGAGTTCAAGTATGTGAGGGAAGCACTTTGCCACTAAGCAACATCCCAGTCTCAATCCCAGCTACTTGGGAGGTTGAAGCAGGAGGCTCATGGAGTCCAAGGTCAGCCTGGACCACCCCCCCCCCCTTTTTTTTTTAGTATTTTGTTTTAGTTGTAGTTGGACACGACACGTTTTTTATTTTTATGTGGTGCTGAGGATCGAACCCATCGCCCCACACATGCTAGGCGAATGCTCTACCGCTGAGCCACAACCCCAGCCCCCTGTACCCCCTCTTAAAAAACAAAACAAAACAAAAACACCTAGCATGGTCTTTGCACATGCTAAGTATTCATTGACTTGAACAGCATGATTTCAGTTTTCAGTGCTAGCAGATTTTTGCCCTATAGAAATACAGCCCTCTGAATTTACCAGCATTCTCTATCTTTTTTGCCTAAAGATTATACCTAAAGGGTATAATCATGCTACATTCTAGGAATGTGCTAGAAGCCATTGCAAAGAAGTTCCAAACTGTTTCAGGCCAGTCACTAGAAAGGCAAATAGCTTTATTGATGCCAATCAAAGCTAAAACACAATGGCATTAAAAAAAAAAAAGGTTGCTAATGAGAGGGTGAGGATGATGGGAGGAGATATTTCATTTGACTATGACAATTGCAAGCACAAAACAATAGAGCATTACATTACTCTGAGATCATATATTTAATCTAGAGCAGAGTTTCTCAAATGTTAGCACTACTGACATTTAGGACAATATGATTCTTTGTCATGGAAACTCTTTTTTTTTTTAATCCTGTGCATTGCAAAACACTTAGCAGCATCTTTGGCTTCTACCTACCAGATACCAGTAGCATTCCCTAATCACAGCAATAAAAAAATGCCTCAAGACCTTTTGCCCTGTGTGGTAAAATGGCCTTCTAATTAGAATCATAGCTCTAGACAAAATACTAAGCATTTTGTCTAGTATTAACATCAATATACACAGAGTCATGTACCCTAGGGTTTTAGTTTGGGATATAAGAGGAGAGAGGACAAAATCACCTACACCACCTATGGGTCAGCTTCTTAAAAAAAATCAACATTAGGAAAGAGCTGTGGGGAAATGGTAGCAAAGAGCTAAAATCTCTCTCTCTTTTTTTTTTTTTTTTTTGGTACTGAGAATTTAGCCTAGGAGTACTTTACCACTGAGTTACATCCCAAGCCCTTTTATTTTTATTTTGAGACAGGGTCTCACTAAGTTGCTAAGGGCTTCACTAAATTGCTCAGGCTAACCTTGAACTTGTGATCCTCCTGTCTCAGCCTGCAGAGTCACTGGGATTATGGGCATAGAGCTGAAACCAGACAATGGACACCTAAACAAAGGGGAACTGGAATAAAGCAACACCTAGTGGTAAATTTAGTGTCATTGTTCTGCTAATTTAATTCCCTCATGGATGAATGATACTTAAAGACCCGTGATGAAATGCTTCTTTGACTCCTTACGCTGGACACCTATCATGTCTGCCCTTGGGATAACAGCAGCTATCCAGACACTGCCAGAGAGTTTCTGGCTTCTGTGAGGAAAATAAAGAAAGACACTAGCTGCCTACCTGAGAGTCCCATTCTCTCCTTTGTCCAGGCTGGTGAATCGGCTGTAGAGACGAGTGATCTGACTGTGGGAAACTAAAGAGCACAAAATTAGTTCCAGTTGGAAAATAGGCACCCATTCACACTGCACCCACAGCCCATCCTCAAATGCTTTGGAGTGTGTGAGATGGGGAGATGTCACAACGCTAGGCAATCTAGAGTGTCAAAGCACAAAATGTAGTTAGGCCTGGTGGCACAGGCCTATAATACTAGGTACTCAGGAGGCTGAGGTAGGAGAATCCCAAATTCTAGGCCAGCCTGGGCAACTTAAAGACACCCTGTCTCAGTAAAAGTAAAAAAGGGCTGGCATGTAGCTCAGTGATAGAGGAATGCCCAGTACCCCCACCCCCACCAAAGAAGAAAGTTTGAAAGCTAAAAGTGGAAAGGACTCAAATAAACTAAATCAAGAACAATCAAAACTAGCTCTCAAGAATGATGTCTAGGTTTAATTAAGAACATTTTAGGGGCTGGGAATGTAGTTTAGTTATAGAGTGTGTGAGTAAGGCCCTAGTTTTGATCCTGAACATCACACGCACTCACACAAAACACACACACACACACACACACACACGTTACATATCAGATAGTTAAGATTTAACACAATAAAGGAAGGAAGGAAGGAAGATTTTGTGTCCATCTACAACTAAAAAAATATTTTTTAAAAAAGACAGGGCTGGGGTTGTGGCTCAGTGGTAGAGTGTTTGCCTAGTATGCATGAGACACTGGGTTTGTTCCTCAAGCACCACATAAATATAAAATAAAGATATTGTGTCAACCTAAAACTAAAAAAACATATTTTTTAAAAAATGTTAAAAAAAAGAGAAAAAGATGGGGCTGGGGTTGTGGCTTAGCGGTAGAGCACTCGCCTAGCATGTGCGAAGCCCTGGGTTCGATCCGCAGCACCACATAAAAATAAATAAATAAAATAAAGGTATTGTGTCTAACCAAAAAAGAGAAAAGGATATTGAGAATTTTACATTTCAACATCCTGAGTTACAGGCTATGAAAAGGCATGCTTTGCTTTGATTAAAAACTCAAATCTACTAATCAGTTTGGTGTTTCAGGTTGGCATTGCTGGGTAAGAAACTTGTACTGAATTAAAAATTGGGGTATATCAAACATTCTATTTTGAAAATCTGATTTACTCCTGCACTAAGCATTAGAGGTCTTATCTCTTCCTTCAGGACTGACCTATGGGTAAAAGAACCCCACAGCTTGGGGTCAACCTCTTTTCTGTGACTGCATAAACTTCACTGAGTTCCCAGGAAAGGAACTTTTTCCAAAAAGCAAATTAGGCAATTTATAAAATGGTCATGCCATCATCAGATGACATCTGCAAGAAAGTTATTTTTCTCTCTTTTTTTTTTTGGTGGTGCTGGGGATTGAATTCAGGATCTTGTGCATGCTAGGCAAGCACTCTACCAACTGAACTATATCCTCAGAGGAAAAGAGTTATTTTGCCCCTAATTTTGAATTGCCTCTGTAAACTCAAACACAAGTTGACAACTAAAATTAAGTAATTACTGCAAGTATGCAATAAAACTCTGAAAATGCAAAAAAGCATTTCTGGGAAATAGTTTAGTCTCCTGGCAAATTGGGGGTAAGAGGTGGGGAAAATGATCACAGGAGAAAAGAACACAGCCAAAAAGGGTGTGCCAAGTTCGGACTTTGTCCTGGGCTGCACCTTCAGGGGCTTAAAGGGATGGCTGAAGTAGTTCTGGTAGTTATCCTCCTCCCCCAACTCCTGCAACAAAACTTGACTGGCAAGTTGACTTACTAGGAACAATGGAACAAAGTAAACAGAGTAGGCAGGAGAAAACAGGAAGTGAATGAGTGGTCCAGGGCTGGGATCAAAGGACACACTAGGGCAGCTGTGACTTCTTCAAAATTAGGTTGCACCCTCAAAGAGGAACTCTGTCCTTGGTTAGCACTCTAAGGTGATGGGAGAACAGAGCAGAGATGCAGAAAGAATCACTCTCATCATGGGCAGAGCCAGCATGGGTCCAGCCACTAAGGAAACAGAGCAGGACTGTTGTGCTTGTCAGGCAGGTTTGAAGAGCTCTCTGTGAAGAGTACTAAGGGTCAGGTGGACAGATTATGATTCCATTCATAGCATCACTGCTTACCAGCAAGGGGTAAGTAAATGTGGCTGTGGTGAGCTGGTGAAAAGAAAGTGCTTGGCAAAGTGCCTGGCACTTGGTAAGCATTCCTGGTTAGTTATTATCATTACCATTCTGACATAGCCAGCCTGAAGGTTCAGTTTTATTCCTGCGCTAATTACTCTCAACTTTCCTCTGGACTCTTGATTTTGCTTTAGGAAACTGACTGGTTTACCCTGGTCTGGCCTCGGGTCTCAAAAGCTACTCTTGTACTAAAGTTCCCTTTAATTTAGAAAAGAAGTCAGTTGAAGAATTATTACTAAATTTCCCCAAAAGATTTTTTTAAAAAACAAAATTTCTTCACATACACAATATTGTTGTTTTCATTTCCATTATCAGTCACATATACTTCACACTGTTGTAATAGCTTACTTTTCATAGTAATTCATAATTTTCCTATACTGCTTAGGAGTACCTTTTTTCATACAAACAAAGATGTTGTGTCCGCCGAAAACTAAAAAGTAAAAAAAAAATTCTCTCTGGGGCTGGGGATGTGGCTCAAGCGGTAGCGCGCTCGCCTGGCATGCGTGTGGCCCGGGTTCGATCCTCAGCATCACATACCAACAAAGATGTTGTGTCCGCCGAGAACTGAAAAATAAATATTAAAAAATTCTCTCTCTCTATTAAAAAAAAAAAAGAGTACCTTTTTTTTTTTTTTTTTAACATATACTGGAGATTGAACCCAAGGGCGCTTAATTACTGAGCCATATACCCTTTTTATTTCTTATTTTGAGACAGGGTCTCACTAAGTTATTGAAGCTGGCTTTGAACTTTAGATCCTTTCAGATTTGCTGGGATTACAGCTACAGCTACCGCTATCGTGCCCAGCTCAGATTACTTTTTAGGAAGAGTTGTGTTTTGTTTTTGTTTTTTGGGGGAGGTACTAGGGATTGAACCCAGGAGCATTCTACCACTGACCTACACTCCTAGCCTTCAGGCCTCCTTTTTTTTAGACAGGGTCTCTCTGAAGTTGCTTAAGCCCTCACTAAATTGCTGAGGCTGGCCTCAAACTTGTATTCCTCCTGACTCAGCCTCTCAAATCAGTGGGATCACAGGTTTGCCAAGATATATTTCAATTTTATATTAGCTTTATCCATGCACATGATAAAAATGCACATGGAACAAAAGACAAGGAAAATCTCCCTAACACCTCAGTTTCCCACTCTCCCATCCCAAAGACAAACACTATTACCAGTTTCTTTTGAATCTTTCTAGAAACACCCTATATACATAAATAGTGATTTATACAATTTAAAATTTGGAAAGAATATTATGATCTAGTCCCAACTTCTTCAACTAACAAATGAGCCATTAAACTTTCTAATCCAGATCATCTAATAGAATGGGATGCAAGAACTTCTTACTAGTATAATCTTTAAAACTCCCTTATTAAGTATTGGTGTGGCATTAAACCCCAATTTTTGGAGGGAAACCAGTATATGGCTGCTTGAATTTATAATAATTTACCAACATGTTCACAATAAATATGTATATACATACCATTATGAAGTTGTTATTTCCAGGACAAACTGGCTATATGGAAATAAATCACTGGAGAAACACACAACCAAATGTCAACTTCTAACATTACTTGTACTGTCATATCTGAACCTATCTTCTAAATTTCTGAACTAATGTTATGATTCTGTTAGAGAAAGCTATGTTGATAGGGGTATAGCTCAGTGGTAAAGTGCTTGCCTAGCATGCATGAGATTCTACACTCAATCCCCAGCACTTGGGGGTGGGGTGGGGGAGAGCCTTGTTAACAAAAAGAAAAAGCTTTCATCTAGGTGCTATATCCATGACAGAGTATAATGCAACTTCCAAGATGTAAAACTCCGAATGACTCATTCTACTTTAAAGGAGCTATAGAATCCAGATGCAGAAAAAAATTGCCATTCATTTTTCCAGAAAAAAAATGAAGGCAGTTTCCAGGTGCTAAGCTCATCAGACAGATGCTCAAAACCTGAACCACTCTTGATAACCCAAAGGAGTTATCAGGAGTTGATAGTTACTCTCATAAGTCTGTATACCGACATGTTTTGAGTGAAACTGTATTTTTCTTCACCAATAGGCAAATAATTCTCTTATATTTTAAAAAGAAGTTTAATGGCTCATTTGTTAGTTGAAAGGGCTGGACTAGATCATAACATTCTTTCCAAATTTAAAATTGTATAAATCACTCTTTAATGTGCTAACTTTCCTCACTAGAGACCATTTTATTGTCATTGCTTTGTGCTCAGAATAGAAAGGTATTTTGCAGAGGTGCCAAGCACCACGATGGAAAGGAGAGGGAAGAATTAAAGCAAAAAGAGAATAAGAAAAGTTATTTTACCCTTTAGTTTACCCTAAATCTTAAAGCTGAAGATAACCTATGCAAGGCCACTCTAAATAAAGACTGGAAAATTGAAGCTTGTACCATAATCATTTCTTCTGAGCACTCCACACCCCAATATTTCCCCTGATATGAGGACTTCAAGGTGTGGCCTACTCTCTTAGGAATTAAGAGACTTGTTGGGCTGGGGCTGTAGCTCAGTGGTAGAGCACTTGCCTGGCATGTGTGAGGTACTGGGTTCAATCCTCAGCACCACATAAAAATAAACAAAAAGTCATTCTATCCATCTACAACTACAAATAAATTTTTAAAAAAACACTATTGTTTTGTATGGGGGATTGAACCCAGGGGTGCTTACCCACTGAGCCACATCCCCAGCCCTTTTTTATATTTTATTTAGAGACAGGGTCTTGCCAAGTTGCTTAGGGCCTTGCTAAATTGCCGAAGCTGGCTTTGAATTTGCAATCCTCCTGTCTCATCCTCCTGAGCGGCTGGGATTACAGGCATGTGCCACAGAGCCTGGCTTAAAATATATTTTATAA